TCTTATCAAAATCCCATTGAAGTCAACCAGGCTTCCTTTCACTGGCTTTTTACAGCTCCGGACTGTGTCTGGAAGAAATAACCCTGTTTTGTTTTTGCCTGTCTGTTTGGAGTTTTTTATGGCAGATATCTTGTCAGAAAAGATAGACAAATTATTGCTGAGTTCTGTTACTTATTATTTATTTATTTGTTTGCTTTCTTTGCTGTCCCAAATGGACTTTGATTATAATTTGGAAAACTTAACTTTATTCCTCAGGAGTAGTGAGAAGCTTAGGATCCATGCAGAATAGGGAGATCCACTTGAAAAAATTACCTCTGTGTTTCTTGAGACAATGGACTGGCTATTAAAAATGATGTGAAATAAAAATAGAAAAGCAGTGAAATTTCACTGTCTGAAATTACAGGGGCACAATCAAAATAAGAATCATGTTCACAAGGTGGATTAGCAACATGGAAATTAGCATGCTGCTGCTGCATTAGAATGGAGAAGATGTAGGCAGAACACAACAAATCCTGTGTGGAGGGTTTCAATCACTTTTTTTCTTAGGGGTGCACCGATAGATTTTTGGGCTGATACCAATAGCCGATTTTTAAGGAGGCATATTGGCCGATACTGATCTGATTTCCAATACCAGCCTGGCAGCTTGGATAGCTGCATGCAGCTGGTATGTCTGGTGTGGTGGAAGAGAAGGGGTGAGGGAAGGGGCAGTGGGGGGGCAGATCAAGGCCCCCACAATGAGGGAGGAGTGGCCTGGGGCTTGGGCAAGCGCTGCCCAACTGGGGCACAGGGGGCATGGTACAGAGTCATGGCTCATCCGGGGGGGGAGGGGAAGTGAGGGGCAGCTCCCACCGCTGCACGCTGCTTGTCTGGGAGCCACTCATCCAGCGCTCACTCACTTGTCCAGTGGTTCCCGCTGCTGCTCCTGCCACTTGTCCAGGAGGGCATGGCGGGGGGGGGGTGTGTGCCCCCAGATCTGCACAGGGAGGGGTAGGGTGGGCTGGGGCTGCACAGGGCTCTTCCTGGCCTACGCTGCCCCATGCAGATCCTGGCCTACCCTGCCCTATGCACATGCCCCCCCACCCATGCGCTCCTGGATAAGCAGTGGGAGCAGCAGTAGGAGCCTCGTGATGAGTGGGTGAACACCGGGCAAGTGGCTCTCGGACTAGTGGTGCACAGCAGTGAAAGCCACCCCCCTCCCGCTCCTGCACCCCCTGGATGAGCTGTGGCTCCATCCCCAATCTGCCTCACTCTGCCTGGACAGCGCTTGCCTCAGCCCCACTCCTCCCTCACTACAGGGACCTTGATCTGGCCCCCCCATGCCCTTTCCCTCTCCCCTCCCCTTCCAGCACACTAGACTTACCAGCTGCACGCAGCTCTTCAAGCTGCCAGGCTGCGCTCCTTGCTGTCTACGTGCTGTGCTGAGGCAATGTCCATGCATGGGCATTTATTGGCCAAATTATCAGCTACATCAGGCCCATTTCTGATAAGAAGAATTTCTGTGCAGTCCTCATGGAGCACGTCCAGATGAGTATGGACCCAGCTGCAGCACCTCACACTGCACACACCACACATGTGGGGATTTCCTGTACTGCTACTTTGCAGCATGGGGGGTGGGGGGGGGGTTGACCCTGGGAGACCTTGGGGTCAAAAAAACCCATACCTAAAAAGAGTGGATCGGCACACGTGCCAGCAGCTCACACTGCCCAAAACTGGATCTTGGCTGGCTGGAGCCATGCTCCAGCTCCCAGCCAGGCTTTCTGCTGCAGGATCACCACAGCTGCAGCTCCCAGAGGCCCCCAGGCAAGGCTCCTGGGACCAACATGCTTGCTGGCCCTAGCCTCTCCCACCCAGGGTAATGTGCAATGTGTCAAAGTGAATGCCAGGCATGGGCATTCCCTGGGGACAAGAAGCAGCAGCATACTTTGTGCTGCTTCTGTTTGTCCCTGGGGAAATGCGTTCCCACTTGTGGGGACTTGCCCATGGTCATAGTTTTAGAGGCAATCCCAGGGCTCAGTCTTAGGGATTCCATATTCCACTATATGAATGCACAGGACAGCTCTTGGAGAACAATAGTCATTTTATGTACAGCAACTGTATACTCTAGATTCACTTCCTCCCCACCTAATCCGTTACTTATTCTATAGATCTGAACATTCCTGCAGCTCTTATGCTAGAAATGTTCTCAAAGTGGTTTTCATCTACCTGCCACTGGCAAGCAGAAAATCCTTATGTCAGATTTTATACTCGAACCACCTCAGAAGGAAGAAAATAACCTGGTGGGAAGTGACACTGCATGAAAACCAAAGAGAATTGATGCCCAGTTGCATGATAGAAGGTGGGCATTTATAGAGTATGAAACTAAAAGCCAAGGGGGCTGCCAGAGGGCTAGAATTTTAAAAGAATTAATGAAGGCAAATCCAGCCTTCAGACTGAAGGCAGAGATGGACAAGCAAAATATCCTGTACAGGGAGATGAATATTTTTACTAGCCAAGTCTGGCTATCCTTAAAGTATCTTTATTATAAAAGCAATCTACTCCAATCCTTTGTCTAGGATGTTTTCCTCACAACTGTGCCAAAAGGATTTCTCCACAGTTGCAAACTGATCCAGTGATTAAACAACTGCATTGGGTAGAATTGAAAAATGATTAAATAAAGAGCAGTTTCTTCAATAAAAGGCAAGGGAGGATGCAACTGATAAATAAAATGCTGGAGGCAAATTCTAGATGTCTTCTGTTAGTCTATTACATAAGGCTTTCACTTAGCAGTGACCACTCAGATGAGAACTGAGGTCAAAAAATAATCTGTGGAAAGCCCCTGTAGTCTTGCACAGCAATTTTACCAGGGTTTCTTATTGCAGAAAGTAACTGTGCTCATTCAGTGGAAACTATCATAGCTATTATCTGAGCCTTCTTATTTTAGAGAGCATGTACTCAGAATAGAGTATTCAAGCCAGGAATAGAGGATGCCACCTAGTGCATTTTGTATGTGTATAGGCAGACAAGGTTCTTTGGGTAAATGTGATATCCTTTATTAGACCAACTAAATATCTTTTAGGAGATCAACTGTTCTTCGCAAGCTTTTGTCCTTAGACCAACACAGCTCTAACCAACACCTCTGTATGCACATGCATTCACGGGGGCTGCATGGACAGATTCTTAACCAAGGTTAAGAATCACCGTGGCTCTGTGAAGTGCTGTGAGATTCTTTTAAGGCTGCCACTCAATATTAGTTCAGCACCATGAGGTGGGCAAACAGGAATCCATAGTGTAAACAAATCTGACCTTTGTGGTCTTGCTGAGCTATCTGCAACAGAAGAATTGCTCTATTATTTTTCCATAGTTGAAAAATGAGTGAAAGGTAGGAGTTGGCATTTTCCAAGGGGTGCCTTGAGTCTAAAAAAGTTGAGAACCACTGCACTGGACAACATCCTTTTCTCCCATTCTGAGCATTAATATAACAAATCATGGAATAAGAACAACTTTGACTTTTGAATTCTGTTTGTGGTTTTGAAAATTGACAGGTAGTAAAAAAGTATCATGAAATGTCTATCCGTACCCAAAGTTCAGAGTCAGTATAACTTATCCAAATATTGTAAAGGTTAGGTTTCTAGTACATTTTCTTCTTGAAAATTTGATATAGAGTTGACAGACAAGATGATATCTGTTTCTGACTTTTTAAATATTTCCATAATATCTAGCTAAACTCTTTGTTAATTTAGCAGATGATGAAAAAAGCTTCCTGTTTGCTAACAACTATTTTCTTATAATTTCATAGACCACAATTTTGATTCCAATAGAAATCTATTATTCTGTTAATTATAGTGGGCTGGCTGCAGCGTTTATTGTTGGATCAACTAGCTGCTAATCTTCCTTATTGATTCAACATGTTGCTAGCTATTTTGAACCTTGGCTTCAGAAAGGTGATGGAAATTAGTGCACAAAAATATTTGTTTATCTGTCCTCACTAAAGTAGGGGCTTATCACAGGTTTACTTACAATAGTTACAAATCATTCGAATGCTACGATATATTAAAGCCTCTTGCCTGAGAAGGAAGAACTTTGCAACACCACACGCGCGTGTAACACGTTAAATCAGGGGTTTTCAACCTTTTTTAAGGAGTGCTCCCCTTCTGGTGGGTACCCCCTTCCAGACGGGCGGGGGAGGAGGGGGGGCTGACAGCTGGCAGGACGCAAAGCTGGTAGCGTGTGCCAGTGCAGGGAAGTGGTGCGCGGAGTTGTGGATGGTGGTGACAGGAGAGCAGGGAAGCAGCACATGGTAGCAGCACGGATTGGTGAATTGTGGGGAGGGGGGCGCGGAACTTGCACACGGTGGCTACCGCCATGTGCTGCTTCCCTGTGCCGCCATGCGTACCCCCTGGGGCCGTCCCAAGTACCCCCACGGGTACATGTACCCCCAGGTGACAGCCCGTGTTAAATCATTTGAATGTGCATGTGCTTGTCTTTTTCCTGCACTTAGTGAGTGTTAAGTTGAATGTGGGACACCACCCTCAGCAAGAGCTTGCCATTGATTTCATGAAGTCAAGAAGGTATGGTGGTACTTCAGACTCCCATTATTGATTTGCCCCATTGAAAATGAAAATCCAAAATATATACAAAGGCCCTTTCTACTTCCTTGTGAAGGGGCAGCTGCCATGTTTAACTTTACTGACCAGAAACAGCTTTTCTCAGCTAACTCAGAAAAATGTTAATGAAGGATGTATGCGGGGGGAAAGAAGCAACCTTTTAGTAACGGGTTTCTTCTATTTCCAGTTTGTGGAGAATATAGGGTCCTTTTCTCAAGTATGATTCATTTTGGTTTGGTGAATTTTAAGACATGACTATGCTATAGAGCCAATTCAACATTTTAAATTAGGAACCTTGTTTACAATGTTATTTCTTTAAAAAAGCAATACTTAACCATTAGTAAATTCATTTTTTTCCATATTTAGCCTAGACAAAAATGATTCAGTCAAAACTACTACTGACTCCTGATTGTCTCAAGTTCTTTTTAATGAAAAAGAACACACATACAAATGCTCGGAGTTACAATGTTACATAAATGACTGTGGCAGAGATCACACATGCCTTCCTCCTTTGTTCTGCAAAAGGTGGGAACAATTTTGCGAGGCTAGTAAGTTTAAGAAAGAAAGTATATCACTACTTACAATTTAACAAGTAGTTTGGCAGAGGAAGGAAAACTGGAACAAAATGCAAAATATTGAATCTGGAGTTTAATATTAAATTTAGAAATGTAAAGTGTCAGTTTATTGTTTGTCTCTGCCTGCAAATGTATAAAGTAAAAAGAAATCTACTCAGTGTTCATCTTTTATAAACATTTATTCATTTCCTGGTCTTTGACAAGTCAGCCTTTACCAATTGGAATCACGTCTTGTTTTAACTACAAACAAAAATTATTCTTAGATATCACTATTTATTAAAAATTGGTGAATACTAATTGGTGTTCATTGCAGATATGTATACTAGTAAAAGCACAGAATTAGAACCATTTCTCTTGTAGCACACTGGGGTAAAACTTAACTGAATTCAGTCTTTTTCAATGAAGAAGATGAGGAGGAACAGAAACAAGAGACACTAACCTCAGGCAAACTGTGGATGTAACCTACGTGGAGCGGGTCTGTGCTGCAAAATAACGGGTTGATTATAGCTTGGCTAGTTGTATCCATTCTATTTATAATCTAGATATTATGGATAAGAAGTAGCTAAAATGCAGAAACACAGACTTGAGCAGAATACACAAATCGAGTTCTTGGAGGGCATCTACTCTGGTTGCTAACCCCTTGAAAGTGTCTCTCTGCTGTGTCTAGTTTTCACTGCAATAGTTATCCAGGCTAGCTACATTAAAGATAGCACGCGTGCCCCTACCCAAAATACAATCACACCTTCATTTTGCTGTACAGACATATAAGTAGTCTATTTCCAGAAGACTGGAGCACTGACTGTTGCTAGACAGTCTATACAAATTCCCCCAAACTCTGGAACAGCTGAGCGATGCTCTTTTTCTTCTGATACTTGCAGTGGCTGGGCAGCATCCTGGATATGAGCAACTGGGACAGAATGTTTCCTTGCTTTACAATTCCATGCAAAATAACCCTTGTCAAGTAACCTTTGGTCTTCAAGGTTGAGATATTTTAAATTGGTAGCAGCTCATAATGGACAATTTGTATATGATCGCTCATACAGCTTCAGTAATATTTATGAGGTTATTTAAAGTACAAGGTACTTCAATTTTAAAAATCAAGGAAAACAAAAAAACCCCAATCACATCTGTTTTTGAGTCAAAAGATCTGGAGTATATATAATACGATACAAAATTAAGATCATACAGACTAGCAAGAATTAGCATAGTTTAACATTGTTATCAACCAAGTAATTGTGTATGTAGTCAAATGACTTTTAATGAGATAAAACTTGGTCACAGAGCACAGGTTGGATTCAGTGTTCCGAAGTATAAATATTTATCTGCTTCATCTTTCCTCGGATTCCAATCAAGAAAGGCAAAAAGCAATTTAAAACTATTGCCTTTTTTCCTGTTTTTTTCAATTATTGTGCTGCAAATTTTTTTTAAAGTAATAAAGTATAACAAGGTTCTTTGCACCAAATGCAGTAATTCACCAATATAACAGAGAGAAATTGAAACATAACCTTATATTTACTGGGAAACAACTTTGGAAAATGCATTTTGAAAGTAGACTGTGTGCCTTCTGAGCCATCTTTAGGGGGCCTTTGTTAAGATCATAGCAGTTAGGGTAGAGTACAGTGTACCAAGTGTACTTGCTGAATTTTCTTTATAGATTTATATAGTGTTATAGCAGCACCATAGGGAATACAGTAATAAAATTAGTCCTATAAACCGCAGTTTTTAGGTCAATAATTTAACTGTTTGAGGTCATCAACAAACAGAATCAGAGTAAGAAAATATCTATAAATATTTGCTTTCAAAATATATTTTGGCTTTCATTTTCTATAAATGCTATATAACCAAATGGTTTGGATATGTCCATTTTTAAACTTTTTTGTTGGAAAACAAGGCTCATATGCACTGAAATGCACATTTCAGTATTTTGTAATCAATTGATGTATAAAAACATATATGTATCAATAATTTCAAAACTTAGTGTCAAATACAACCCCTTCGGTAGACTTCCTGCAGCTGACTCCAGTTCAGGTAAAGAGGTATTCAGCATTTTTACGTCAAAACTATCCTTCTTTTTACTGGCAAAATATTTTATAGAATGGTAATACATATGAATCAAACCAGTTAATACAATAACTGTCCTGATCAATATATAACATAGTAGCTGTTTGTTCATTTAGGCATTCTGAGACTATACATTACATGTACAATTATAAAATATACATTTCTGCTTTAGAGGGATTTTAAAAAATCAATATGGCTGATAAGAGTATCAGTCCTTTATTCTGCAAGTGATACAGGGCATTGACCTGCACTGCACATACCTTTTTCTCCTTTTCGTTTTAACTGCAAGGTCAGATCAGCTGCATATCAGAAAGCTGCTCTGCCTTTGCTCATTCACATAAATACAAGCCACTCAAGTGATTACTCTCAGTTCCACTGTTTAGTGCCAGACCTGTTCAGAATTTAAAAGTTTTAAAAGTAGGATGGTGCAAATAGGAGGTGACCAAAATTAAATGTTTGAGAACAGTTTCCAGATAACACAATTAAGGCTCCTAAACAATCTGAGGGCAGACTCTGAAGCAATCTTCTGCAAAATGAAAACAAGGCTGAATATATAGCCTGGCTGGAAAAATACGTTATTTTTAGGCCATCTTATCTGGAGGATGTCCATTTATAAAAAACCCCTATATTCTGAAAAACCTCATTATTGATTTTACAGTATGCACATTTACAAAGCATGAATTTTTATGTAGACTGATATATAACAATCAGCATCTCTTTAAAACATGACTAAAACTTGAGAATAAAACACTTGTTCACTTGATTTATGTGCTATGTACTTTAATGCTTCTCATCTCTCCCAGGAGAACTGGCCTGTAGATTGGCTCCAAACTTTCCATGTACTCTAAGTAATCAGCCACTCGAAATCCATGGAGTGGTTCTTCCTGCACAAATACACAAAAGAATATTATTAGACATGAAAAGATGCACAATTCCAATTTATCAAATTCTGAGCTTTGAAAGGCTGTTCCTTCTTGTTTGTCTTTCCTTCCTGTTTTACTCTTCTTAACTAGATATTAGTTTTAGAAGTGAAAAATCAGTGCGCCAGTTTCAGTCAGGTCTTGGAAATTACATTTTTGCTAATAAACAGTTTATTCAGAGTAAACTCATTGTCAGACTCTTTAAGACAGGCTACAACCTAAAGATATCAAGGAATACAAAAATAAGTATCAAATAGCTAAAGACAGATAACTACAATGTTTTCCTAAAGGTTTTTATATTAGCCTTGAGAATCCTAAGTATGTTAATGTGCCTATTATATCTGATTAGGTTCTCGGTATAGGCAGAAGAATAGCTAGCGTTTCCAAAGCTAATTGTGAATAATCTTAAAAAACAACAATATAGGATGCTTCTGCTTCATCATTATAAACAATGAACATTCAAGAAAACTCATATTCTTTTATTTAAGTCCCACTTTAACAGGGGAAAACTTAATCTTCTGGAGAAAAAGGTAAATGGACCAAATCTTTCTGTGTGACTGACAAGGAAATTGTGGGGAGGGGGATGCTGGCAGGTGCATCTTCTGCAGAAGGAACCCAGCTTACAGCAGGATTCCACAAGGCAGAGAAGGTAAAACTCTATGCTGTATTTTGCTGCTCCTTTGAGCAGGAACAACTTGTGTGCCCACCATCTGCTGAGTAGCATTACTGCTAATGGCAGCATATGCTATAACAAGCTTATGGGAGCCAGACTCTGCTCTTGGGCACATGGTATACATGCTGGTGCATTAACTAGGCATCTCTTCTAACTACTGTTCTCTTGAGCACTATACAGAGCATCTGCCTAGCAATTGAAAATTTGCACATCGCTATTTGAGAGTCCTTTTATTGGCCTCTTGAGAAGTACAAACCCAGTGGTACAGCTTTGTCCTATATGTTGTCATTCTGCAAGTGGGAGTGGATGTACTACATTGCCTTGAAGGAAGGAAGGGACAAGAGCACAGAGGTAGAAGAGTTCTTTCTGGGCTTGCTTAGAAATTGGAATCTGTCTCATTGAATGTGTATGCTTTGAAGGGTATACTTAACAGAAATTAAATAGTTTTGTGTCATGAACTATTCTGGTTACTGTTTAGTTTGGCTTCAAAACTGGTTGCAGACCTACAATGTATTTCACGAAAGGGAGAAAAAGCAGCCAAATTACAAGTACTCACAGTAAGACAGAAGAGGAAAACAGGTCCCTGTCCTGTAGCAATATTTGACTTCTGAAATAAAATGGTGCTTGGATAGTGCAAATCCTTTGCATTCCCTTAAGCAGAAGCTCATCATACGTTTTTTAAGAAATATGTGGCTTAATACTAATTGGTAAACTGCCTCTCATCCTATACTGTAATGTACTTTATGACCTAAGCAGTTTCTAATAGTGTGCTGTTACATCTACATACGAACCCAAATGATCAACATGTTGGCAAGAGGAGACCGCTCATGATCAAAAGAGGTTCCATTCCTGTAACAATTCTTTTCTTTTTCCTTTCCCTATTAAACACATTATAATAATTTGAAAAAACAGAAATGGCCTATGCTGATTTGCGAGTGTAACGAACTAAAGTACCATACTGATTCGATTCTAAGATGACTACCCCACTCATTTAACAAGGGGGGGAAAGCTCCTCATCTTAGAATAAAGTACAAAGATGTGGGGGGAGGGGAGTGAAGAGGAGAGGGGGGAGCAAGTAGCTGTTGTGGCTTAGGTTCCGGCCCCAACCCAAGTTGAGGCCGTAGCCGCAACTGCTGCACACTCCCTACTACTGCCACCTCTGCATCCTACCCCTCTGCATCTCTTTCCTGCAGCTTCTTACTCCCATCTCTGCCCATGCAGTCTCTGCTTCCCTGCCTACCTCTCTTCCTCCCCACTTACCTTTGCTCTGTGCTGGCAGGCTCTATGCATGCTGCAACCTGGGGCAAAGAACACAGCCCCAGCCCAGTCACATAACAATGGTGTGCAGCCTAAATACTTGCTATGGGGCTGGTCTGGAGTTGTGCTCTGTGCCCCAGGCTAGAATGGTGATGGAACCTGCCAATATGGAGCAGAGGCAGGGGGGAAGTGGGGAACAGAGGCTTGGGGGAGGAGAGGCAGGGCAGGCAAGGGGTAGAGATGGCAGGCAGAAGTAGGTGGCAAGCTGCATGTCTTCCCTATACCACCTGTCCCCCTGCAGCAGTAGGAGGGATGAATTAAAGATGACCCTCCAATAATTAAATTTTATACATGGAAACTTACAACAAATTTATAAATGTTACAAGTAGGGCACATCTACATGAGGCATTTACTAGGCAGTTGACTGATTAGCTGTGCAATAAACATTGCATATCTACATGTGTGCCCCTATTAGGACAGAGTAGATTAATTAACTCCACAGCAGGATAGTACTTGTAAATATAAATACTATCCTACTGTGGAGTTTTTTACTCCTGTAGATCTTGCCTCAGCTGGCTGGGGTACGAGGTTGCTTCAGTGCGTGAGCTGCCTACCAGGTAGCCCCATGTTGAAGCACCCTTGTGCCCCAGCCAGCCTCTCTACAACACACTGAGCTGGGGTGGGCTGCCTCAGTCTGGCAGGCTGAACACCCATGCCTCCTGCCATCCAGGGCTGCTCTGACCTGACTCAACATGCTGTGTTCCCGGGCGCATGCTCAAATGGTGCACTGAGGAGTAATAAACTCCAGAGCAATAAACTCCCTCTGGAGTTAATTGCTGTTCATTAATTTCATGTGTAGACATGCCTGTATAGCATCTAATTATTAGGGGGTTGTCTTAAATTCAAGTAAATATGGTGGTACTCTTGACCTTTGCCTGGGTGTATGGATGTACAAAAGGTAGAAGGAGCTTTCCCTCACTCTGATTCCACCTTGGGCAATTACACTTAAGGAAGTCCTGTTCAATCCTGGAGCCCTGAAGCTGCAAGATACCTGAAAAGAAGCAAGTATATGGCCTTCTCTACCCTAACACCAGTCAGCACAGCCAGCCAATCACAGAGCAATATACTTTAACTTCAGTGACTGTGTCCAATGGTAAACAATACTTTCAAAAACCTCAGGTGCACAAGTTTCTCCCCAAACATAGGCTGGTACTCTAAATCAAGCAGCATGAGACTAATTATGAGTCCGTCATAATTCATGATGTCAAATGTACTGGAACTCCTTGCACTGATGCATATCATAGTGCTGAGCCACATATGCAACCACAGTCTTGAAAAAGATGTGTTCCTAGTTATGGTGCATTTCTTGAAGACCTCTATTTCAGAGTGACTTGAAGTGAAACTTCTTTGGGTGAAGAACCTACATCTTATTTATCATTCCAAAATACTGCTGTATATATTGGTGCTTATACCAGATTAATGGAAGCCAATTTTTTTCTTTCCTTTGATTCTATGATTTATGTCAGAACTTCAGACTGACAACTCTGGGCTAACCACTCTCAAAGAAAAAGCTCTTTCTCTAGGTATTTGAATTTTACTACACAATGAACACTTCATTTTCAAAGGAAGCACAGCACTTGAAGCCTGGGCATTTCCCTGGATCTCTCCTAGCTAAACTGATGTGTACCTTCTCCTTTCTGTTTTAACTGCTTTAGAATGATGCATTCTGACAGATATAATGCAGACAACTACATTAAACAGACTACCAAGTAACTTAAGCACGTTTATGAGCAGCATAAGCAAGAATCAGGCATGCCAGATATTGTACCCTGAACATATATGCAGCAGGTCAGAATATATGACTGCAAACAGCCTCTGGGGTCATCTAGTCCAGACCCCCATGTGCAGCCAACAATTTACTCCAGGATTCTTGAAAATCACCACTTCTGACGCCTGCATTCAAATATGAGGCACAAAACCTGAATGCCCTATAACATGCCATAGATAAAAGCAGGCGATACAAGGGCACTGCCAATGCTGAGTCATTACAATAGCAGAGACTTTATTGGTTAATATATGCTCCGAGGTTGCTAGGAAGAGGATCATGCCCTATTCTGCAGGGAAAAGAAAAACAACCCCACAATATCTGCCAATCTAACATAGAGAAAAACATCTTTCTTGATCTCAAACTGGTCAACTGATATGTCCGAGTGGAAGAACAAGACCCCTAGCCAGGAACCAATGAGTTTTCTATGAACCTGTGCATTCCAGTCAATCCCCACCAGTCTTATCTTGTTCTAGTGCTTCAATGTCCTCCTTTCCTATAAGCCAGTAGCATTTATGAGCGGGGAAAAAGTTTTGGCTTTTACAGATGACTAACAGAAAACCCGAATCACTAGATTTGCTGACACCTACTCCACTGCAAAAGGCTTGCCACTTTACTCTAATATGGGGTTTGCAAATATTTGATTCCAGATATTACATATCTTGATTGTTGAATCAAAAACTGCCTAACCTATCATACTGTCCCTTCCATAAACTTAACAAGTTCAAGCTTATCAGGTGATTCAGGTTCTTTGCCGCCACTGCTTTGCTTGGAAAAGTAATCCCAAACTTCAAAAGGATGATGCTTTAACTTCACTCCTCTTACAGGGAGTTATCCTTTAATTTCCAATTTCCAGTAAAGTTCATAAGCAGGTTGCAGCCGCTTGGTTTTTTCATAATAGTATTGTAGCCTAAGAGCTCTTCCTCTCCAATGTTTATTCCTCAAATATATCTGTAAAAAGTAACTACATCCCTTCTCAATCTCCATTTTGTTAAATTAAGCAAGCCAAAAATCCTTAATTTTCTTTCAAAAGGTCTCCAATTCCATTAACCATTTTAGTGAGGGGTCAGTAATTTTCCACTGGGGGGTGGAATGACTCAGCTCAGCTTGGGTCAGAGAAGGGTAGGCATTAGGAGCCAGTTGTAGCTGCCACTTTTCCTTCCACCTAGTTGCGGCAAAAGCCCCTTTTCATCAGAGCCTGCGCCAGCC